TTTTGATGTAGGCACTTAGAACTATAATCTTCTCTCTAAGGACCACTTTCAGTGTGTCCCAGGGGTTTTGTTGTGTTGTATTGTCCTTTTTATTTAACTCCAGGAGCACTTTTCTTTCTTTCTTAATTTCTCTTTTGACCCATTCATCATTCACGAGTGTGCTGTTTAATCTCCATGTGTTCATGTGCTGATTAGGGCTTCTTTGGGTGTTGAATGTAAGCTTTATTGCATTGTGGTCTGATAGAATGCATGGAATTATTTCAATCATTTTGTATTTGTTGAGGCTTGTTTTGTGCCCCAGTATATGGTCGATTTTGGAGAAAGTTCCATGGGGTGCTGAGTAGAAAGTATGTCCTTTGGTGCTTGGGTGGAATACTCAGTAGATGTCTATTACATCCATTTGATATATGGTATTGTTTAATTCAGATGTCTCTCTGTTAACTCCCTGCCCTGTTGATATATCTAATGGAGACAGTGGGGTATTGACGTCCCCTACTATTAATGAGGTAGGATTAATCTGGGTCTTAAAGTCCTGTAGTACTGTTTTTATGAAGTTGGGTGCACCAGAGTTGGTGAATATATGTTCATGATTGTAATATCTTCTTGATTCATTGTTCCCTTGATCAGAATGAAGTGGCCCCCTTTGTCTCTTCTGATTGGTTTTAGTTTAAAGTGTATTTTGTCGGATATTAGGATTGCTATGCTTCCTTTTTTCTTAGTACCATTTGCTTGGTAAATTTTTTTTCCATCCTTTCACTTTGAGATAGTGTCTGTCCTTGAAAGTGAGATGATTTTCTCACAGACAACAAAAAGATGGGTTTTGTTTCTTAATCCATCCACCTAACCTGTGTCTTTTGACTGGGGAGTTCAGTCCATTAATATTCAAAGTTATTAATGAAAGATGAGTATTGAATCCTGTCTTTTTTATTTCTGTTTACACTCTTGATATAGCTGCTCTTTTCCACAGTTACACGTTCATTGAGTTTCTTTCCACAACCCCTTGGGTATAGTCATTCCTTTCTTCAGCTCTTTGTATTCCAGAACTCTCTGAAGGGCTGGTTTTGTGGACGTGAATTATTTATGTCATGGAAGTTTTTCCTTTCCCCTTCATCTATAATAGACATTTTGGCTGGGTATAGTAATCTGGTTTGGCATCTGTGGTCATTTAAAACTGGGAATATTTTGTTCCAGGCTCCTCTGGCTTTTATAGTTTGCACTGAAAAGTCAGCTGTAATCCTAATGGGTTTTCCTTTATATGTGACTTGTTGTTTCTCTTTTGCATCTTTCAATATTGTCTCTTTGTTTTATACATTTAGTGTTTTCACTATGATGTGCCATGGAGAGTTTCTTTTCTGGTCCTGTCTGTGTGGTGCTCTATATGCTTCTCGTATTTGTATGGGAATGACTTTCTTTAATTTTGGGAAATATTCTTTCATGATTCTGTTGAAGATCTGGTCCATGCTATTATCTTGGGATTCTTCTCCTTCCTGTATGCCTATGATTCATAAGTTTGGTCTTCTTATGGTGTCACACAATTCCTGCATATTCCAGTCTTGTGATTTCTTAAATGTTTCATAATCTTTACTTGAGTGGTCTAGTTCATCCACTTTATCTTCCACTCTTGATACTCTGTTTTCCATTTCATTCATCCTATTGGTGAGCCTTTCTCTTGTCATTTCTAATTGGCTTACTGAGTGTTTCACTTCCCTCTTCATTTCAACCTGAGCATTCTTCAAATTTCTCTCTTCTGAATTC